CATGATATTTTGTACTATAAAGGACTAACAACGAATCGATAGTCTATCCAAAAGGATTGTCAATGGAAGGACAATGCGTTGAAAAAAATGCTAGGCATTCGGATGACCAGAGCGGATGGCCAGAGGGGATGGCCAGAGCGGATGGCCAGAGGGGATGGCCAGAGCGGATGGCCAGGCAGATGGCAAGGGCGGATGGCCAGGGCGGACGGTGAAAAAATAATACCCCCGGGCTACTATGACAGTTTTTACGGTAGTTAAAAATTATACCCGTACAACATATCAAATTGTACAATAATGTTGCACAATAAAGTAGACGTAGTTTTCGGTCTGACTTTTTTTGAATCGAATCGGTTCGGTCCAGCCCGAAAACGTGAAAGCTTCGAATCAAATTGGATCGATTCGATTTTAATTTAGACCGAACCGATTCGATTCGAAAACCAAATCTGCTATAAAAGCCTATCAACGAATCGATAGTCCTTAGAAAAGAATTGTTAACAAATCGACAATCCGTTCAATAGAATGCTAGGCATTTGGATGGCCAGGGCAGTGTGGATAAAATTAGGATTAGCTCTGGCTTCGGGTCCTGTTCCTAGGCCATGTTTGTATGGGGCTAGACTAGATTTTCAATTAATTGATTTTAGAAACTTACTAGAATAACAGGCAATCATTTATTGCTTAGCCAATTCGACTGCATGCCTGTGATGGATGCTCGTTTTTGCTCGATTTCTCGCGGGTCGATTGCCATGATAAGAACGAAGACCATTTACAAAATCAAGTAAGATTTTCGGTTATTATTTGGTAATGAAAGCTTTGTTTTTGTTTGTTTAAATAACGTTTTTCTTCTCTATTTATGAAATGCATCTCTTAACAGGTCGATGATCCAGGTGACATCGTCATCTGCAACGATCCGATCCCATTCACGGTCAACGGTATCACTCTGAGCTATCGCAAAGCCAGATGGATGTTCGAATTTGTTTGGCTACTTTCTTTCACTTTCTTTCTTTTTAGTGCCTATGACCTGGATTTTCAAAAAGGATTGTATGTCTACCAGTTTCGCTTGCTTAATCTCACTTCAAGTTTGAAAGTTTTGAGCGTGGATCAAAGTTTCGTCGAATATGCTATTTCGATCCGTGTAATTGAATGGGTTGATGGTAAGAAAGTAAATAAAAGAATGGCAAAAAAATTTGGAACTGAGCGGGAATAGAGACCTTCTGCTTATCGGGCAGGTGCTCTACCACTGAGCTATCGGCGTCTGTTTTGCCCGGAAAGAATTGGGAAAGACAAGGAAGAGAAAGAAAGGAAAAAAGAAAGGGAAATACCCGGTAAAGTCGATCAACCAATCACACAGCTACTAGCTCTGTGATTGGTTGATTGGTTAACGGTTTCTGTTTTTTTAAACCTCCAAATCAGAGGATTTAAAAACGATGCAACCAACCAAACGTCTAACCAGTGTCAGTGGTATTTAGTAAGTGTCATTTGGCGGTTAAAAAACCGAACGACTAACCGATTTTTTAACCGACTAACCGATCCAGCGCATACCTTATGATCTGCCAAATCTAGCCACAATCAGATTTCAGCTGACATTGAAGTGCTTGTCGTACCGATGCGTGCCCAATGGGATCAGTACTCGAATGTGATTGTCAAAGTCGGGATGATGGCCGTTTTGGTCGCTCATCCTCTCGTTTACGAGTAGGCGCCTTATAATGTTATATAATATCCCAAAAGTTCAGGCACAACATTTTGTAAAAACAGTTAGCAAACGGCTAACTTATTTCAAAAGTAATAAGTGTTATATAGAGATTTAAAGCCCGAAATCTTGGCTACATTTACATACCAAAAGCTTTCGAATTGGAGCCACACAACTTAAATGACAAGTTTTTTCGTGAGCACTACTCGGTTTCTTTCCCGTCTCTCCATTTTTGATGATTTTTCGTTCAGAAAGGCTTCCCCAAAAAAATTTTGTGTTATTCTTGTTCAAAAAATTAAGTTCAATGAATTTATAGAGCTAGAGCAGCACATATATCAAAATCCGGATTCAAATTGAACATCAAAAAACGCTCAATTTTCGCTTTTTTCCTTGAGCTTCAAAATGAACTTAAAATCAAATTGAATTTTGGTTAGGAAAGTTTGACAAAACAGTTGGATTTTATTCTTATTATTCTTAAATAATAATAAATGTTATATTATGATGAAATAAATAATAAAGAAGCTCTTTTAAAAAAAATTTTTACAAAGAAAATCGTCAAAAATGGCAGCGTGCCGGAAAGAAACCGAGTGGTGCTCACGAAAAAACTTGTCAGATAAGTTGTGCGATTCCAATTCGAAAGCTTTTGGTATGTAAATGTAGCCAAGGTTTCGGGCTTTAAATCTCTATATAGCACTTACCACTTGTGAAATAAGTTAGACATTTGCTAGCTGCTTTTACAAAAAGTTGTGCCTGAACTTTTGGGACACCGTGTAAATCAATTCACCGGTCAGGCTTAAGCCGCAAAGCTTCGTGGTTGGAAAAATGAGTCGACAAAATAATCACCAAGTCCCTTTCAATATTTTATTAGATGGACAAAAACTCCTATCTTTGGGCTGTACCCGTTGTACTTCGACGCGAACTATGAAACACAACCCATACAAACGATTTGTGGCAATAACCTTTTGGTTTGGATTTTCTAATTAGTTTATAGTAGACAAAGAAATAGTTATACTACAGCAAACGTTTATAAATTTGTGTTTTTAAATCACTTTTGCTTAGGTTGACGCCTCTTGCACACAGGACACCCTCTACACGATCGACATTGGCTCGATAAACGCGGCCAACTCGAGCAAACTTGGCAACTCAGTTTATAGGGGGCGAGTTGGCTCGAAAATTGATATTTACCTGATATCTATGATTCATGCTTGACACTTATTGTATTGGGGTGATTTTTCCCTTCCAAGACCAAGACTTTACTTATCAATTGGTTGAAAGTACAAATCTCTAAAATGTAAATTGTCTGTGAAGCTAACCAATAAGTACCTATGTTTTAACAAATTGCTATCCTATTTAATCCTATTTGCTAATATATTTTCAAATTGCAGTCCTTCGAACTTACTCTTCTCTCGCTCACCGATCAACATCATCTACACGGCTGAACGATGCTCGTTTTGTTTGGGCTTTGTTTTCGAAATCGATGGTGAGACATACAGTACCGGACAAAAGTCTGTCAACCCCGTGACGGCACCCTACTTTCAACCCTATTTTTAGACATATAACCGCAAGAAAACCCTAGAACACCATATATTTTCTGATAGCTCAATTCAAGCTCTACAATATACATCTATTATCTTTTTAAAATACAGCGTTTTGATGCATTTCAGATCACGCAAAGTGACGTGTCAAAAAGCATCACTTTCAAAAGCGGATTTCCTAGGTTTTCAATGCTCAAATCATTCTAAAACACATTTTTTTAGAAAGCTCGTAAAAAATTACCCTAAAAAAGTGGATTTTATATGGTTCTAACAGGTTTTCGCTCAGAGAGGCAAAATCGCTCGACTAGGCTCACTTGAAGACTCATTGAAGTCATTATTTGGATCTAAAATTTATCGAACATTGAGAAACACTCATAAAGAAAACAAAATAAGAAATAGTAATGAAAGTTAAAATAAAAACAGCAAACAAAAAAACTCGATTAATATTTTGTTGGATAACCTTTTGAATCATTTTTTGAATTTTGATCGGTTTTAGCTCTCTGAATGAAAACCTGCTACAACCAGCTAAAACCCACTTTTTTAGGGTAATTTTGTACAAGCTTTCTAAAAAAATGTGTTTTGGAACGATTTGAGCATTGAAAACCTATGGAATCCGCTTTTGAAAATGATGTTTTTTGACACCTTACTTTGCGTGATCTGACGAAAAATGGATTTTGTACGAGAATCTCAACTGGAAACGACAGTGGCTCAGTGTAGGGGAATCTCCTGTCACGACTTCAAAGGTGGAAAGAATGGAAAGAAGACAATGTGTTTGGTGGGGTACAAAGGGAATCGTGCATTTTGAGGTGCTCATCAAAAACCCTGTATTTTAAAGGGATAAAGATTATGTTGTAGAGCTTGTGCCGGCACGGGGTTGACAGACTTTTGTCCGGTATTCTAGCTTGTTAGGTTACCTAGGGAAAATAGGTGATCTTTTTCAAATCTAATAGTAAGATTAGATAGGTATGTATTTTAAAACAACGCTTTTAGGAGTCTTGCCGTACGATTCGATCGTATTGGGCAACGCGTTGGACTACTCGGCTTCGACCTTCATCAATAGTTTTGGCTACCCATGGACGCTTGCAGATTATCCGAATCATCAAAACAATGCAACCTATCACTATTCGCATCAATCTGTGAGTTGGTTTTAAACAACTAAAAACGGATCGGCAAGATAAGACTCTACAAAAGTTTTCCTACTGTCTATTTCCTTGATCTACCTGGTTATCTACTGGGTTATCTACTTGATTATCTACTTGATCAATTCACTTTCTCCCCTCCTTTAATAACTCAATTTCTCCCCTCTTCACCCATCTCTCCACCACCCTTTTCCTCATCAATTTTTCGATCATCTTCACTTTCTTTGCAATAGTGTCAGCGGTTTCTTCGGGTATTGAAGAGATTTCTTTTTGAACATTATCCTGAATATGTTTCTTGGTTCGACCAATCTTTCTTTTTGAGGCTATGATAACTCATGACTTTGCACCATAAACTCATGACTTTGCACCAAAATTTTTTTATTACAGGTATATTTTCTCTAGACTGTCATTGGAATGTTCGAGACCGAAATCACCATTCTCTCTGTTGAAGGCGGCCGTTTGGAGATCAACCTCCACTCGCCATTCCCCAATCCATTCTCCGTGGATTGCCCCTTTGAGAATCCAATACAAAGTTTTAGGTTACTTTAAAAGGTTACTTAGGTTACTTTAGAAGGTTACTTAGGTTATTTTAGAAGGTTACTTAGGTTACTTGCAATAGCTATGACCAGGGTGTTTTAGCGTCTCCTGGATCTCTCAACCAGAAACACTCAAACTTTTTGGGCTTTGCTATGAGGTTTAGTTAAATTTATTCATTCATTATCCATAGACTAATAATTTTTAGTTCAACTGGTACCCAGACAAATATTTCGATCAAATCCAAGGCTTTCTCGTCACCGCAAAAATCAATCCAAACATCACCAGCACAAATGTGACATGCGGCAAAACGAGTACACTCACCGAGGCAAATCCGTTTCTGATCGTCGACGGCTACGATTTCGTTTATAAAAGTTGTCTTTGCAGAGTTTTCCATTATTTTCTATATAATATTTTTATATTCATAGTCTTTCTATAAATTACTGTAAATTCAAGGCTTATCTGCACCGGTTTGCGTGACGGCCGAAAACTGCGAGAACTGTTTCTATTCGATCGAATATACGCAGTTGTGCAGTGATGATTACTGGGTTTGTTTGGAAATAGTTTGCTCTGAATTTGACTCAAAAATCATGCTTTTAAGATCATTTTGAGAGTGTATAAGTATGGAATGGCTAACGACTGAGGAAGGAGTCAGCGAAGAATAGTATTAGGGTAGAGCGAGCACATAAAGAAAACTTTGATTGAGCCAACATTGCTGACTTTTATCACCTATTGTAGGGCGGAATCAATGAGGGCTGCGTGGAGTTTTTGCCGCTTAACATCAACTCTCAGCTGCCTCAGGTCGAGAATTGCACGTGGTGGTGGGTGGAGGAGCAGGGTTAGCTAAAGCCAACATGTTTTTTGCTCGGCCCGTGGACCCGGTTTTTGTCCAAACTTAGTTTTTTCTGAGAATGGAACCGAGAGTTTTCCCAAAACAGTTCCTAATGATTAAGAATTCACGGAACTCTTAGTCAATCCTTTATTTTTGTCTCGAAAACCGCGGAAAATGCCACCGATTCCAGCTGAGACATGACTATGGCAAAAACAAACTAGAGGTAAACAAAAAAACTGCTTAGGTAATTTGTGCCTGGATTTCGGGCTTAAACTAACTAGCTGAAGGGCTTAAACTTCCAATTCCAATTCCTTAATTCAATAATTACCTTTATGCTGTATTAGAATGACACCCTCAAATAGCGTCGGACGATACCACTATGTTCATAGTGGTATCGTCCGACGCTTGAATTTCTCCTCTGATCTTTAGATCTCCTTGACTTGTTAGAGGCTCTCGTTGACTCTTTTAATGGTGCGGGCAAGCCCGTTTGGGAACCCCTTTGTAAGGCAGTGTTCAAGCTCATGTTCATTCACTCTTAGTTTTGCTCTAGCGGAGTTACTTACAGGAGTCGGCTCGTGAAGCCGGTGAAGCTGAAAACATTGGGATTTCGATAATATCGTTTCGACTCCCTAAGCTCCCATTCTATTTTTCAATACCCGGAGGGGGTATTGAAAAATAGAATGACAACCTCTAATAGAATGACAGAGTCTAATAGAATGACAACCTCTAATAGAATGACAAAGTCTAATAGAATGACAACCTCTACTAGAATGACATCCTAGGGAGTATTGAAGAATAGAATGATAGAATGTCATTCTAATACAGCATTTACGGTAATTGATCTTTATTTTACCGTAAGATTGAGCTTATTGAGCTTGTTCCTTTATTCAGTCAAACTTGTTTTCAGGATTTGAAGATTCGTCAAAATTCCAACGTTTTCAGGAAATCTTGAACACTGAATCTTTGAATTTGTTCTCATTATATATACTTGTTATTAAAAATATGCGTTTTTCACTTTTCTACTTGTTTAAATTTTGATGTAAACTATTAAAATCTCAAAATTTCAGCGAATCGATCATTTCCCCTGTCGTTTCCTGAGCATTTCCCTATTAAAATGGCCCAAATCGAGCAACCGCCAACCCGATCGAGTCCATTCTTTTCTCTATTCAGAAGATCGAAGAAGAAAATCAATGGCACAAAATCTCATGACGATTTCAAGACAACGCAAAATGCAATTGTAAGTTTAAACATTTGAAATTCAAATAAAAAACCTTTCAAGTTGGGGAATTTTGTGGAAAATATTCACGAGTCAGTCGCCTTTGATGTAGACAAAACATTGAAAAATTTCTTTTTCTGAAAAAAGAGAAGGCAAATAGCATGCATTTTACAGGCAAATAGCATGCATTTTTCATTGATTCAAAATGAAAAATAGTAATTTTGGTTTCTAGCGCACTCAAATCTTGTTTTTCTCTTCAACCAAATTGTTATACCATATTTACTAGACCTGAAATAGTTTCTTACTTACTGTTAAGTAAGTAAGGTATTCATTCACTAGAAACTTAAGGGGCACGCCAGATAGGACGCCGTTTACATAAAAACAATCCGTTTTCCAAGCATAGTTCCCCGAAACAGCAAAATTTTTGATACTAAGTAAAATTTTTGATACTAAGCTAGACCGGCGTGAAAGCTGGGGGCGCTATTGAGGTTAAAAGGCATTTTTTTCTTTAAAACCACCTTTTCTGAGATCGTTTTATGCTTGGATTCCGAAAAAAACAACGAGAGCTTGGGAAAAGGCGTTTTAAGCTGATTTTCGGGGCTTCAAGCCTCAGACTTCAAGCTTTAGGGGCATAGTGTACTTCACTATATGGAGCTCAAGCTATCGACTATTGGTGCACTTTTCAAGGTCAAAACTAGAGGCAAAACCATTTTTAGCCACTAAATACTCATTTTCTAACTTAACTTTATTGGTAGAGGCAAAATAAATTGAAAAATATTTTTTCAGATTTTGGCCGATTTTGACTCATGTATGGGTTTGACTCATGGCCAAAATCTGGGAAAAAATTTTTTATTTTGCTCCAATTTGATTAGAAACGTAATCAGTAGGCTAAATTATGCTAGAAGAAGTGTTTTTGGCTTCAAAAATGCTTTGAGAGATCATTTTTAGACCTCTTTTCTATGTGTATCTCAGCACACTGTATGAGCGCGCACTTTGGAGACCCGAAACTCAGCTTAAAGCGCCTTTTCCCAAGCCTTTTGTGTTTTTTGGAAACTACGCATAAAATTATCCTAGGAATAGTGGTTTTGAAGAGAAAAATCGTGCCCCAACTAGGCAACTAGGTTTCGATTAGGTTCCGATTAGGTTTCGATTAGGTTTCGTTTAGGTTTCGATTAGGTTCCCATTCAGTTCCGATTTGGTTCCGATCAGGTTCCCATTTAGTTCCGATTGGGTTCCGATCAGGTTCTAATTCGGTCCCTATTTAGTTCCGATTGAGTTCCGATCAGGTTCGGATTAGGTTTCGGTTAGGTTCCCATTCGGTTTTGATTAGATTCCCATTCGGTTCCGATTAGGTTCCTTTCGATTAGGCTAGTACCGCTGTTTAAACTAATGGAACTTTTTGAATTATAATTGGCTGATATTAAATCCTAAAAGTTATAACTATTGACAAATGATTTTCAGTAGTCAGATTTGGTTCCATTCTAGTGGATTTCAAGCTTGTTGAACTAAAATTCAGCTTATGAGTCCAATAGTCAGCAAAATAAGGTTGGACTAGCTAAATCCTGAATTATTAACGTTTTACGCAGGTAAACTTGTGGCAAAATTCCCATTCCATTGTGCCCACTTATCACTTTTACCATCCACTTTTTGAAATCTCTCTAAATTTTCCAATCTCATTTTTTCAAGCTAAATTCATTGTAATTCTAGTTTTCCTTGAGTGATTCTTGTGCGTTGATCCATTCTCTTTCACTTCTCAATTCCCTTTCAAAAAAAAAACGAGAGAAATTCTTGCTTGGGCCCCCCCAAACCCTCATCCCATTTGAGTACCACTTCTACGGCTTTTCCCCTCTCTTTTTCCCCTTTTTCCCCAAATTTCCCCCCAACAAACCCCATCCAATTTCACCATTTTTGTCTCTTTTTCAAGTACCCCATTTTTCTCAGTCTTTGTGAGTAAAGCACTTTATTTGGGAGCCCACTTTGAAACCAATTGATTTCTATATCGTTCATTTAGCCAATTAATCTAAAATTTAAAGCTTTATGAATCTTTAGAAACTTTAAATCAATTAATATTCATTGATTGATTGATTTAATTGATTTGTATTTTTTATCGGAAATCCGAAGACTTTAAAATTGCTCACATTGCTCAAAATCTCATTAACCAGCTGGAAAAAAAAAGCAAAAAGAAAACTGGGTTTAAATTTTATGAAACTTTAAAGGTCAAAAAATTGAATAAGAACTTTAAAATTTCAGGAAGAGCTCGCCAAGACGAAACCTTCTCCACAAAAGATGTCATTCACCGATCGAGTGAAAGCGCACAAAACGGCAAAAAGTGGAAAGAAGGTGAGTTCGGTTTTAAGTTAAACTGTGGATTTTGCTTTTGAAATTTGCCGTAAACGAAATGAATCTGATTTCAGGACCAATCAAGCACGTTACCATCTCATTTATACAAGAAACACGACAAGCATTTGAAGCATCAGTGCAAAGTGAGTGGGACTCAGCTAAACGGTTTCAGGAAAAATCTTATTCACTCATCAGTTTGTCCAGTATGATACATCTGTAAAACTGGAGTCAGAAATCCACTTGAGTTGATCATTCGGTGTTTTTCTAGAGTCCAAAAACTCTTTTTTTTTGATCTTAAAAAAATAACTCAAGAGTGAAGTTATCAGTTTGGCCGGAAAGACTTGTCCGCCTTTGAAATTTTCGATTATCAATGAATAAGTAGCCGATAAACGTTTGTTTTGCTTTAAATAAGAAAGATTATCTATTACACTTAGCTTTTTAGGCAAATTTGAGCCGGCTTTGAAGCAAATCCAAACGGGAATTCTTGTTTTGCCTAAAATCCTTACAATAAACGTAGAATGAAATCGGTTGAATCAATTTCTCCGAGAATTTGTCTATCTAGCTAAATTTTCATTCTCTATCTTTTGTCTTTTGGCACTAAAATAGATTTCTTTGGCAAAAAGTGCTCAAATCGGAACTTTGATTTTCATCTTTTTTTACTGCTCAACTTCAAACCTTTAAAAAAATTAACTTACGCGAGTTTTTCAGAATTTCTTAAAGGGCAATTTGTAAATAAATAATAGGACTTTCTAAGGAAAACAACTATAGATTGATTGGTTCTTTTTTCATTTCAGAAAGTAACCTATAAAGAAGCGGACAAGACGGACAGGAAGCGGACTCTCCAAACTTAGAACTTTCCGATCAACCTGATACAACTTGTTATAGATTCCTAGCGAATTCAAACTAAAGTATTATATCAAAACTGAAACCAGAACATTTCTAAGTTTGTATCTTTTTCAGTCACAATCCTTTGATGCACTTGTTGAAGAGGATCCTGTGATACTCATCGAATCCCTTCAAACGATCGCCGATGAACAACCAACGGTGGCCAGGTGAGAAAAATTTCGATTTTAAAGCTGTAACTAGAAAATCGATTTAGTTATCTATTAGGATATGGAATGATTTAATTTTAAAATAAATTTCAGATCAATTCCAAAACACGCCAACATCAAACCGAAGCCAAAAGATCCATTGAGAAATTGCTTGTTCGAGCAAGAGGTATGTTTATCAAATTTGCATAAAAACGGGCGAAATAGAAATCTAAAATGTATTATCTTTTAGTCTAAAATCTAAATTAGCTCTAAGTCTAATCTAAATTCCAAACCTAAATTAGCTTTTGACTTTCAGGTTTACGACACGATGCTCTCTGATAGTCTGAAAGTGTGTGATCTCCTTGCCGCTCATCTTGATGACTGCATCACGCATGTGCGTGCGAAAAGTCCCGAACTCTCCAAAATGAATCTCTCCGATGTTTCGGTTAGTTTAATATCTAATTGATTAGAAGTTGACTGCTTTAACAATGTAGCATTGAGAATTTCAGAGGTTTCTGTAAAGTTAGTTTGCTAGCAACTTACTTAGCAGTTCGTTACTGTAAAGTCACAAAATCAGTCTCGTATCCAACTACAGTATGTCAAAATAAAAAGTATTCAGCTAGTATACTGAATATCTTTTACAGTATAAGCTTTTTGATTTGGAAAATATTAAATTAATATTTTACAAAGTATATGAACTGCTTTAACAATGTATCGTTGAGAATTTCATCGATTTGAGTTCAACGAGTGGCTAAAGATACTTCAAAGTCTCACAATCAGTTCTTGATCTTACGACAGTGAAAAGTATTCAGCCAGAATCCTGAACATCTTCTGCTTCACCTAAAAAAAATCGAATATTCACCCCGTTGACTGAGTCTTTTGATTCTAGTGAGACTGCCAATGAGATATTGCACTCTAACGGAAGAAATTCGTATATTATGACAGAAATTGGTACTCTAACGGAAGAAATTGATTTATTATACTAAATTCAATGATACTTTGTTAAGCAAACTTGAATTTCTCCTATTTCAAAGAAATTTTTTCAGTCCTCTCTAAAGGACTTTTTGATTTTCCCCCAATTATACACATACACAAAAGCAGGACGAGGAAAAACAAGAATAGTAGGTTTCAAAAGCAAAAAAAGAAAGAGCTTGCATTCATCGTAAATTTGGCTTTGTTAACAGAGATTTTTTGTTTGCAAAGAGTACTGTAATCTTTACGAAAATTTGTCGTTTAGGATGGCCGAGATTCTGGTCGAGGTCCCTCATCAGCCTCTTCAACCATCTCTACATCACCAACCGCCTACAAGCGGCCGCTAAAATCATGTGTGCGAGCCGATTTGTAAATTTGCATATATGAATTTGGTTAAACTGAGATACAATAATCCCTGGGTTTATCCTGAGCAGCTCACAAACCCTATCGGTACATAACAACACGAATTTGCATGTGTTCTTGGCCCATTAAAGTCACAAATACATGACTTTCTTGGGCCGAAGACAAAAATTATCATAGCAACTCTTTTGAGAAATGGATGAGAGGTATTTCATTGATTTTTATAACTGTCGCCTCATCAGACGCCATAATGTACTTGTGACTTTGCTGGGCGCAAGAAGATACCGTAAATACTGTAATAGTACCCCACCCCCCTCGTACAGTCGCGTAATCGCAAAAGTTTTTTAGTATTTCATTTTTTTCAAAGCGCCCGTACTTTCAAAAAATGCATCTTTGATATCAAAAAATAGCTGAAAATCAGGGCTATTTTTTGATACCTAAGTACCTTGTAGCTTAAACCAGTGTCGAGAAAAACTCGTTTAGAGCTAGACTACGCAACACTCCGCACTGTCATTATGGGGCTGGGGTACTATTACAGTATTTACGGTATGCAAATTTGTGCCTTCTGCTTGCAAATTTGAGGCTAAAGTAGTTGGGGATTGGAACTTGACCCAAAATCAATATTTTTCCACGAAAACTTGCACACAGGGGTTTTTGACTATGCTGAATCGATTAGTAATACTTTTATAACTTTTTTCTTTAAGTTTATGTTTGATTTGAATAAAATCGAATAACAAGAAACAACAATAACAAAACGCAACGAGAACTACAAAAATGCATCATTCATAAAGTCAAGATAATCATGGAGAGGCTACTTCTTGGCCACTTCGTCCCAGAAAACTTACATCAAGTTTTCAGAATTATGTTGCCAATTCCACAAAACTGCAAAGAAATCCTCGTTCCACAGCTCACCCCAAATGCCATTTCTCATCCAAAATTTTGTTTTTACTTCTCCAAAGAGACTCTATTGCTTGAGCGTGGACACCCGTTGCTGAATTTACAAAATGTTGGGTCAAGTCGAGTCAGTATAGTCAAAAACCCCTGTGTGCAAGCTTCCGTGGGAAAATATTGATTTTGGGTTAAGTTCCAGTCCCCCCAACTGTTCTAGGTTCCAGACTTCCAAGTTCCAGTCAAGGTCAAATTCCAGACGGCCCCCAACTACTCTAGCCCGCAAATTTTCATTTTGGACCTACCAAAGTCACAAGTACCCTAGTATGCAATATCAGAGATAACTAGTTGTAGACAGGGTTTGAAAACTGGAAAATCTCGGCTGCGGAGTTTTTCAAAGCTCAGCTGCGGCTGCAGACGGAATTGTTCCAAGGCAAGGCTATTAGTGAAACATAATACCAATAGTTTCAATATTCATAAGACCAATTAGTCTTACTTACTCTTACTGTATTTTTCAAGGGATTACTGTATTTCATCCATCTTCTAACACAAATTTTCCTGTGAATTTCTTCTCCTCTACTTTTTCTCTAGCGGGTCACTTTCAAATAGTAGTTCTTCTTTTTTCGCTTTACATTTATCAATTTCTTCAAAATTTCAGTTGCTCTTTTGTAAATTTTCTGCAATTTTCATTTTGTATTTTTGTGCTCAAAAAATTTTGCGAAACGCCCCCACTTGCACAATAAAAATGTACAAAATTAACGAAATTGACTAGAAAGAAAGAAGAAGAAAAATTGGCAGAAAAGGAGGAGTTTATAAAGCGTAAGAGTTTACGGAGGAAAGATATTCAGGTAAAGAACTAAAGAACTGATTTTCTTTCAAAAGACAAGAGCTAATCAATTTTCAGTTGATAAATTTGTTCTGAAATGTCTAAATCTTGAGGAAAGGGCTAAATTTGGCTTATTTTAAATCTAAATGAATAAGACAAGCAATAAATTGGAGAAAACTAAAGTCACAATATCATGTCCCACTAAAGTATACGAAAACAAAAGCATTCAGGTAACCAGAGCTGAATATCTATTAAAGCAAAACGTAGCTTTTTGATTGACTTGTAATGGGAAAAAAATGTGTGGGACAGGTTTTTGAGCTCGAAATGCGGATGTTGGAGCAAATCGAACCGATGGTCACAAGAGAAATGAAGAAGTCGCACAAGGGAAGTACTGTCGTACTGTCGCCAAAAGGAATACAGCAAAGCCAATCGACCCAATCAAGATGCCGCAAGAAGGGAATTGATCAGATGGAGGCTTCGAGAAAGCGATCAAGCAGGAATTCGATCGACTGATCTCAGCAATGCAAAAAGGACTACGGAAAAGTCAAATTCTTATTCGAAAATTTTAATTTTGTGTTTATTTTGGTTAACAAATTTGTACAAACATATTGGCTGAAACGGTTTTTAAATTTTGCAAATTGTTGCAAATTTTTAGCGGTCTGGATTTTAAGGAAAAATTTAACACATCCTCTCCCATTTCTTAAAAACTGTGCATCATCTCGAATTTTGGGATCGAATTTTGGCGTATAGTCAACAAATTAAATTAATAAAACTTTCAATTATTATTAGGAAAAAATTTGAGAGAAAGCTATGGTTCAGTTTTTTTTTTCAAAAGCTTTTGGCTTTTAGGAATATATATATGCTTTATTCAGTTGAATAGCCACAAAATAAAATCACAATAACTACCCGGGACACTACTCAAAACAGACCCAAAAGATAAATAGATACCTCAAGAACGAAGCACAGAGCAGTCAAATCGATTGCCGAAATAGCGGTTTTAAATCTAGCCAAGGTGGGAATATCACGAACATGAGGGGGTAAAATGTTCCAGAATTTAATAACTAGGTTAAAAAAGAAACTGTGGGGGCTTTTACGGAAACGGAAGGTTGGCGTTTGAGAAAACCTTTTGGAGGCGCCCGTAGAGAGGCGAATTCCAAGAGACCAGAAAAAAGGAGGTCGGGATGAATGCCTTTAACAATTTTAAAGCATTCCACTAAGCAGAAGCTAAGCTTCTAGAATCAGAAGCTAATATGCTTTTGCAAAAACTAATGTTAGCGTCTGATTCCTAATTCCGAACTTTAATATTTTTGTGCTATCAATTTTGCCTTAATGCAGCTCGTTGTTTTTCAAATTCCCATTGATATTTTGCAAGTCACGAACTTTAGAACCCACTTTTGGCATCTTTCACTAGCAAAGCTGTACAGTTAACCGTGAATGGTATAAACCAATTTGAAAATTTCTCGTCCGAACGTCGAAACGTTCACGAAAAAAGTTACGAAAAAAAAGTGTTCAAAACGTTCCTTCAGTAATAAGCGATGACTTCGTCTTTCCGGTATTCAATACTTTTAAACCATCTATAACAGCAGTCTCGTTTCACACGTGATTTCGAAACGTTCGTATCTTGTTCAACGTTGTCCAAACCACTCAAACGATTGTCATCTTATAATGACCTCTCTGGAAAGTGACTACAGTGTAAATAAATGCATAATACGAACCTAGAATCGACTCGACCCGAAAAAATTGGGAATAAATGACTATAAAGACAAACTATTGGGTTCGAGAGTCCGAAATGGCGCCGACTTTCCAAGAAACTTCTATAACATCGAGTAGTCTTTTTCAAATGACACGCGGGTAGTATCATTAGAAAGCTCACTTATTTCTCTACAAAATCCTATTTGAAATAGAACTCAAAAAGCTCCCCAATTCAATAAAAGATCATTTTTTTTCAGAAAAGCTATAAATCGTCATTTAAAGAGAATGACTGACGAGATCACTTCAAAAATGTTTGGTTGTTTGGCTACTTATGCAATTAAATGTGCTCTAACTTTTTTGTTTTGACATCAAGTTAAGTTTATGTATAAGGAAAGAGTCAAACGACGAATCGGACTCCTTGTCATTTTCACTGACATTCTGTTTAAGAGCCCATAAAATCCACAAAACAAAAGCTTTTCGGAATCTCTCAAAAGCCATTTTTTAGAGAAATGATAGAGCTTTTTTGATTATACAAACAATGGATTAGATGGAGCTTTTATACGTTCACAAAAATATTTTTGAAAGTCGGCGTCATTTCACACTCCCCAACCCAATAACTGATCGGTTAGACGTAATACCGATTGCGACACAAACCCCAGAAGAAGAATTGTTTTGTCAATCATATTCAACATACGCAATCATTCAACAACTCGAGTCCCTTTCTTGTTGTATACGAATACACGCCGAATACGAATCGAGTCAAATTCGGCAGTAGTGGAATGCGGAGTTACGTGTCGTTATTAAATCTTACACAATTTAAAACACACCAAAAATTCATGATTCAGGCAACACATCTAGAGAGATAATATTCGGTTCGTCATCGGCTCCAATGCGAACCGGTGAATCGATACAAAAATTGTAAAATTGCGAACCGAGTCCAAAAAAATACTTTGCTAATTTAACATGCCCTAAACTTAAATATTCATTGCAGAAGGTGGACTTCGAGTATCTCGTCTTTTTTCTTAAAAAATTTATTCCATTGATTCAAAAAGTTAATACCTTATGTCTGACAGCGATAAGCGATTTCGAGAAGAGAAGGTCGGGGCAAAGAAGAAAACAAAGTCGTAGTCGTAAGTCGATAAGTCGTAGTCGTGGAAGAAACAAAACGAAAAAAAGCAACAACACGCGTCTAAGCTTGTCCATTCAAAATGTGGACTTTTATATTGTGTTTCTTTTTTAATTTCTCAAAATCGATCAGAGAATTCAATTTAACGATCGACGATCCATCGTATGCGATTCACGGCTGGGATTTGTATGAGTATGGGGTAAATGCTTTGGTTTCCATTAAATTAGCTTTATTTAATAATATTCTAGTTGAAAGAGCGTGAATTTAAGTGTAGGATTGATTAAATTATGCAAATTTGGATGTTAGAAAATATACGTTCAATTATGTATGAGTTGTTATACGTTAAGTTAAAGCTTTAGCATATAGTTAAAAATTATGTCAGTACAACATATCATGATATTTTGTACTATAAGGGACTAACAACGAATCGATAGTTTATCCAAAAGGATTGTCAATGGAAGGACAATGCGTTGAAAAA